GCCATCTGAAAACACTGGGCCTGCTCTGTTGTGGTTGCTGTTGGCAGCAGTGCCTCCAACAACATTCAGAATACACTACCCTAAATATGCTACCTGATGAATGTAAGCTGATGTTAACTGAGACGTAACAGAGGCAAGAAAGGTGCTGTGCCCCACCATTTCTTCCTAAAAACAGGGCATGAACTTCGCATGAGAGCAAGGTGCCTTCCCTTTACTAGAAAGAATATTATCACTAGAGACAGGCATCAAAACAGACTTTCATTAGTCCTCATATATTTCTTAGTCATTTTGCCTTGCATTCCTCTAGCTCCAGCCACCTATTTCTTAGTCTCATTGCATCTCCATAAGTTATTGGTCTTTGTTAAAGTGATATATAACCCTGGGTCTGAATGTTTCTTTTGGCTCTTTTTTTTTCTCTTTCTACAAAGCTCCCTATTCCACTTAAAAATACTGACAGCAAATTAAATTTGTACACTTGTTTGCCTGTTAATCTGCCTTTTATCAGTTCAGCTTGCAGTTTCTAGCCCTAGAACCTAAAAGGGTGGTGGGGCAAGTCTTCTTCTCTACTGTACAAAATCAAGCAGGACACAGAGAGAGCCATATCCCTCTCCGAGCACAAGAAGGACATCAGCACGATGTGCTCTGTCCTCTCCGGTGACCACATGCATGTTTTCAGCTGTGAAGGCAGCATGATGGCAGCACAATAGGAAGTCAGGTAGCACCAGAGGAACCCTGGGTGCTGTGCCAGTGTACCCACAAGGGAGCTCCCCAGGTGTTCTATCTAGATGTGCCCCAAACCCCTGTGCACACAGAAGTGGGGGTTTTGAAAGGTGATTGGACCACTGGGTCAGTGCTGACTTGCTGTCAGGAGGTGGGGTCTGGTCTGGCTGGAAGAGGTGGGTCACTGGGGCGTGACCCGGAAAGGTATGGCTCCCTCCCTCTGTCTTCTCTTCTCTCTGCTTTCTGTCCACCATAAGGTGAGAAACTTTCCTCCGCCCAGACCTTTCACTATTTACTGCCTTAGAGGCAACCATGCAAGGACTGAAAGTTCTAAAATATGAGTGAAAAACAAACCTTTTTTCCTTTAAGTTGCAGGTGTTGGGTTTTTGTCCCAGTGGTAAGGAAAGTGACTCAGAGAGAAGTGGCAATAACTTTTAAGGGGCTTTACTTTAGGCTTCTGTGTTTCTGTGCCTTGTATCATAATAATTTGGTAAAAAATTAAACAAGAGTTAGTAAATATAAAGATGCAGAGTAAAATTGACCATAGAATATATTAAAATATTCAAGTAGAATTTTAGTTACAAGCAGGTTTAACCATCAGGTGGTGGGGGTACAGGGCAGAGAAAACAACTTGACCCAAAAGCAGAACCAAAGCTAAATGTGTGGAGGGAAAAATAGTTTCACATCAACTGGGGCTCCTGTGATAGAACAGAAATCACACACATAGTTCTTTGCTACTTTTGGATCACAAAAAGCATATTTTTGTTTGCACATCCTTGAAAGAAAGTAAATTAGTCTTTGAGTTATCACCAGAGAGGGGTTTGGAGGGCTAAACAAGGCTTTCTAGAACCCCTAAATCACTCCCAGACTACAATTACATGGAAACACAGGGAAATGACTACATAGGACTCACACGGGACTCCTGACATCAGGCAGTTAGTTCTCTGTGGCCACTCATGGAAGAACAGTGGAGCACAGAGGATGAACCACAAAGAAACCGATAGAAAATAGACAGAACATGGGCCGGGGATTTAGCTCAGTGGTTCCACCGCCTGGCTCGAAAGTGCAAGGTCCTGCATTCCATCCCTAGTACTG